AACATTCAGGTTTTTTTTTAAATTTAAATCCAAAAAAAAAAAAAAAAAAAAAAACAAACAAACATAGTTACCAATTGAAGGTTGAATTTTCTTATTGCAAAAATCCTCATCACAGCAATAAGGTATAGTGTAAATGCCATTATTTGAAGAGGGTGCACACATAAATGGTCTGTCCCATGGAATAAGGTCCATTTTATTAATGCACATGCTGTTGTGTGTTTCTCTACCATCTTGTAATATCACCGATGCCAAGCACAAGCCATTAGTAACACAGGTCTGATTATCTTTTGAACAGTGCTCGCAGTGACATTTCAGCGCTAAAAAGAATATTAATAACACAAAGTCAAGAAAATAAAATTATAAAAACAAAGATACACTTACAAATCATAAGATACAAGCCTTGCAAAGATAGTAGGAATCTGACACTTAACGGAGCACCCAATTCTAACAACCGCCACAGCTCCACACATAGCCTTCCACTACGCAATAACTTCTTGCATATAAGTTAAGGCTTGTTCACACCAAGCCATCTGAGCTGTGTTTTGCTGCACACACACCACACATGCATGCTGTGAACAATTGTTTTCTACCGTGTTTCCCTGAAACACTGTCTTCTATTTTTTTTCCCCCAACAAAAACAAAACAAAAAAAACCAAACACACTAGGTCTTATTTTCAGGGGATGTCTTTTTTTTTTAATGTGCAACGAAATGTACAACAATCCAAAGTTTTTCATGTACAACCATCAACATTTATTCATGTACAATACCGGTAAACAGTCTACATGAATTAATGTTCAAAAATATACCCAAGGGTGTGGAATTCGTATCGCACGACGCCCGGGACATGTAGTTCCGGGCAAGTGTTTTTTTCAGTTTTAGCCCTGCTACGGACAAGGGCTGGTTTTCTTTTCTTAAATGAGCAGCGCTGCAAGCCCCCCATGGAGCGCCGAGAGCAGGGGGCGTGGACGGAGTGGGGGCGTGGAGCGCTGAGAGCAGGGGGCGTGAGAGTAGTGATGGAGCAGCGACATGGCCGGACGGTGGAGCTATGACAGGCTCTGTCACCTCCCTTAGCCTCTGTCCCCGTTGGCCGCTGCTCGTTCCTGTCACAGGAGTTCTAGCACAGTGCTGTGCTAGAACTCCTGTGTTGGAGGTGACAGAGTCAATAAAGAGTACAATAAAGACTACAATAAAGACTACAATAAAGACTACAATAAAGACTACAATAAAGAGTACAATAAAGAGTACAATAAAGAGTACAATAAAGAGTACAATAAAGAGTACCTGTCACCTCCAAATGCTATCACACAGGGGGATTGTTATCCCCGGTGTGATAGCAATACAGTTAAGTTTTAAAAAAAAAAAGTAAAAAATAACTAATGAAAAATTTAACTAAATAAAAATGTAAAAATAAGTCGATAAAGTAAAAATAAAACAAATGAAATTTTTTTTACAAAGTAAATAAAAATTGAAAAAATGAAAACCAGCCCCGCTGCCCGCATCTGCATGCGAATAAACGCAGTGTTTTCATCTGCAATATGTGCAATCGGCAGGGCGGTATTGCAGCAGGAAAACGCGCAATCCGCCTGGCACGACTGGGGTGCCATTAGAAAATAATGGCACTGCCAGCGCGATCAGCAGTGGTGTGCGATCCGTCAGGGGCGTCCCGAGGCTGGGTGACACCCGGTAACCGCTCGCCGACTCGTCATCGCGCACACGCGGCAGTCTTCTGATACCTGCCGGCGGCCATCTTGGTGATGGAGAGAGAGAGGAGGGGACAGTACCGCCGGGTCCCCTCCTCTCTCTGATACCGTCGGGCGTTCGGTCCATGACCGAGCGCCCAACGGTTGAAAACACGACGCGGTGCATGTCGTGAAAATAGGTACATCTACCTTTTTTTCCAGCGATTGCCACGCAGATTGTAACCCCATACATGAGGATGCAACCAATGTATGCAACCGCACACGATCGCACGTCCCGGGAATCCCCAAGTCTGCACCAACCCTAAAAGGGTATATTCACTTTCCCAAGTAATTTGGGAAAATGGAATTACCCATACAAATCTCCCTCCCACTATACTCAACTTTCGGCGAACGGTCCTTTACCGTCCAGCAGTACAAGTGTACTATCTGCACCTGTTCCATGTATTCTGAATTTCGCTCGCAAATTGCAAGCACTCGTTGGTCAACGCGGTCACCTGACGGCACTGACCAATGAGAAGCGCTTCTTAGCACTGCTAAATACGGTTTTGGTAAAAAAAAATTTTTTTGTATCAGGACAAGTAGATGGTCATGAGGGACAAGTAGATTCGGCCCCCACTTTAGTCCTTGGACAAGTAGTTTTTTCAAAAATGTCCACACCCCTGATACCGTACATTTATTCAAATACAGTCATGTCATCTTCTTCTGGAACATCGTCATAATTCTCCAAATCCTGAATTCTGGCCTGCTTTTCTTGTGACTCCATTTCCTTTAGAACCATTGACACCAAACTTTCATGTTTGAAATGAACACTTCTTGTCCAGGTAGCCTGCTTGTAATGCATTGGCAACACAGGTGTCACAGGTGTTTTAGCCCATGAATTCTTCACCCAAGTCACGACCTCCTGCAGGCCAGGCTTCACAAAGTTTCCACGCTGATTTCTCTGACTATCAGCCCTGCGCACAACCAAAGCCTTTGCTCTCCTGTCAGCAATCCAGTCACAGGTGATGTCTTCCAAATGTGGAAATAATGTTTGCCGACCTGATCCGCACTTGCGCTTCTTAGCATTTCCCATGTCCACCTGTTGACTGAGGGTATTGTAATCTGTTCGCCATTTTCGGACCAATCGGAGATCCAACTACTTGGCAGTAAGCTGTAAGATTCTTGCCGCACGAGTACTCTAATTCTTTTCTTGTACTCGACGGAATAGCTCTTTCTTGTTGCGCTCATCTTGTCTGGGGGGTCAAAATACAGTATGGTATGATTCTGTTTAAATCTACCATTAAAGTACGATAATACGGTACAAGACAAGACTTACGGTACAATGTATGGTGATACGGTTGGGCAACAGAAGTCTATGGCTTAGTGCAGGTAACCTGCAGGTGCACAGTGCTGCATCTGAGGATCAGTGTAAAAGCAGCCCAATACGGTAATCACTTCAGAATGTCCAAGGTCATCAGGGACAGCGGTACCAGCGCTGCAGACAGCGCGGTAAAGTACATGCTACCGTACCACCAAACTAAGTCTTATTTTCGGGGTAGGTCTTATTTTCGGGGAAACATGGTATGTGCCCTGTTCACACCATGCATGTGCAGGAAGCAAATACCATATGCATAATGAAAAAATATAGCAGTTATCGTATGTGAAGAAGCTAGTTCACGTGCTTTACCTGGTCTGGTAATAAAGAATATTGGGGAATGTAGTTTGAGATTTCCCTCATCTGTAGTGCTGGCAAAGAACAGCTCAACTCAACACAGTAAGGGAAACAAGCGGCCATTTTAAATCAAGGAACATGGAGAAGCAGAAAAAAAGCCACTTATACAGGTTAGTGCTGCAATCTAAAAAATAAAAAAAATTAATATTTGCAATGTACATTGCAAACATGTTTTTTTGAATAACTCCAAAAACAAAGTGGAATTGAACTTTAAAAGAGGAACTTCACCCATATCTTTAAAATAACAAACACACCTTTAGAAATGTTTAGTAATGGCAATCTATAAAACACATACTTCCAGATAATTGCATGCTTTTTATTTCTTGCATACCTTATTCTTCTTTCCTACCCATTATTCTCACAGTGGCCCTTTTAACTAAGGAGAGATTGCTATATCTCCCTTTACTTCCCGGAACTCTGGCACATGTGACTAGGACATCATCTCAGGGGGAGGAAAAGGCCTTTTCACCGAGATCTTGTTAGATTACAGATAAGATTTCCCACGCTGATGTAACCTTCCCAGGATGCCATGCTTGGGAAATATTACATAATTTGTGCCCAAGTGGAAAAAAAGAAATTGTAAGTAAAATAAAAATATGTTTGGTTAGCTAATGATGTAAGATGATTTCATATCAGGATGCAGAGCTGCATGCTTATGTGATTTTTATTCAAAGGGGTCAAAGGTCCACTTTAGGAGTGCCTGCATCCTACTGGATGCAAGGGCTGTTCGCACAACAATTTTCCGCATGGGTCCTTTGATTGTTTAATCAAAGGATGCTGGGCAGGAGTCAACAGGTAAGGCCACCCATTGAGCCAATTTATCAAGAATTGGCCGGTCTACTTTAGTAGTTTTACAGATCAGGACATACTAGAAATCATCTGGCCCTTAGCTGGTCTTAGAATTAGGTAAATACAACCTCGGTTGAACAACACATGACATATTTCACAGTGCCATTATTTCAGGGCTCAACAAATCCCAGGCGCCAGGTCGCCAATGTGACGAGTCCTGGCGCTGTAATGTCCTTGCCTGCCGCGAGCCGTATGCGTTCCAGCGTGGAACGCATCGGCCGCGTCACGCAGGTCACTTCCCTCTCGGAGGGGGAGCTTCTCTGCTCTCCACCGTGGAACACGGAAGTGACGTCACGGCCGAGTCACTTCCGGGTTCGCGGACTATTTAAAAAAGGTACTGTGGACGCTATGGAAGCGTTCCACTATTGTGCTTGATGCCCTACACAAGCCAGGAGCTCCACGAACCACACACACCTCTGGACCTTGATCTACCTGACTACTGACTGCTTGGAACCGCAAGTATTTGTAACAAGTGGGGGATTGGTACTTGCCTTAGTTGAACTGTCTAACTACCAAAACCCTTGGCTAAGGAACCAGTACAGTATACTGTGACAATCTGCTTGCTTGTTCATTCCCGATTGAACGTGTGTATATACCTTTATTCTGGATTAAGACTGTTACATAACCTCTGATTCTAACTCTCTGTGTACTGAACCGTTTAGTGCTGAGTTGTGTAAACAATACATTGTTCAACTTCCTCACCTCACTTGTGGCAAATGATGCAAGAACCCCTCACTCTCTGTTAAGATTGAGAGAGACGCCTGGGGTTCAAGCCTGATTGCCATACCCAGCCTTCAATCACCTTCTCAAGTCCGCAGCTGTGATCCATTCCCCTGTCCCAGCAACAGGTGCATTACAGGCGCCTGGGCTTTTGTCAGCCGTTGACTGCACTGCCACTTCCCCCAAAAATGCGCTGATGTTGTGACACCACACAAGTCCATCCGCACTTGTGTCACTTTCTCTTCTTCCCTGTGCGCAGTGCTGAAGAAAAGCAGGGGGTGGAGTACAAGGTAGCTGGCATAAATGTTAATTCCCCCCTCCGCCACAATACCCTCT